TTGTTAATAGTTTAAACTTTTAAGTGATAAAGTGTTTAAAAGTAGCCCATTTAAGTAATTTGTGCATTTATGAGAGCGCGGCTCTACTTGTTTACATTCGCTGATGCCAACATTTAAAAGAAATGTGACGAAAAATGTCATATAAAATAATTTCACTCACTATCTATCTATCTATCTATCTATCTATCTATCTAAAGTACTGATGTGATGCTAAACAGACCGAATGTTGAATTACAAACGGGACGGCTGAGTGAGTGAATGATGAATGAATGAATTGGGTTTCCTTTGATAAATAATAAATGTGGCAGCTTCTTCCGTCTATCGATATTCTAAAAAAATGTTAGTAACTACGGTGGCTTTTCTACTTTTGTACGAAATCGCTGCATTTATAGCCTACATGGTTTGTGGAGGTTTTAAGAAACTGACTCTTACCTGTGTGTGGAATCTGGGTCACCCGTCCTCCGAAAGTTTGTCTAGCTATTCTCCTCAGACTGTGGTAAATCCCTCCCGGACCCCAGAGCCAGTGTTTAGCCCCTCTCACAAACACGCCCTGGCTCCCCCTCTGAAGTCAGCCTGAGCCTGCATGCCCCGGGACAAACCTCCACCAACTCCTCGAGGTATTCCCAAAACGTCCTCATCCAATTATGTGCTTTAACATGCTTTTTGGCAACATCTCCAGGGAGTCTGTAACAGAAGTCTAGTGTTTGAGTTCCCATACTGCTATTATACCGAACTTCGCAGATTCATCACATTAATTGACAGATTTAATTTAATGCTAAATACTCCAAAATAATAATAATAATAAAATATTTTAGAGCATTGGTTTTCATCAGTTTATCAGCCATTTTGCATGTCCCATTACATTAATGAATTAGGCCATATTGAACCTCAGTCAACAGTGTTTTTAAAGGGGTCATATGATGCTGCTAAAAAGAACATTATTTTGTGTATTTGGTACACAAGCGATAATATACTACAGCGATAATAAAAGTTACGCCTTCTTTCTTTGCGTGAACATTTGGGCGGCGTTATGCAAATCTTCCCACATAGTGACGTAGACATGTGGGGGCGTGTTAGAACGAGTCGTTTTAGGTAGGCGTGGCTGACTCTGAACTTTTATAAAGAATATCTCTTTGGATTTGAGACTTTAGTCTTTGCAACTTTACAGATCTTCTTTATGCACCAAGAGTTTGTAACACTCCAAAGAGAAAGGAAAAATTGAAATCGCATCATATGACCCCTTTAACAGACATTTGACATAACTGACATTTTCACTGAAAATCATGGGGACACTGCACATTTGCTATGTCTCCCTAATTTAACACACCTGATTCAGATCATCGGCTCATTTGCAGGGAGCTCCATTAACTAAACTGGGTCAGAAAAGAGAAACATATGCCTTACAAAACGCAGTGCAGATGGTCCCCAGAACCAGACTTTTTCTTTGCTTTTGTTCAGTTCAAACAAACAGCCGTGTTAAAACTGGACCAATGTGGAAAGAAATAATTTATTTTCAAATTCAAGTCCTGTAGGAAAAATAATCCAGAAGAATTAAATTTGATTTAACCCTATAGACCAGTGATCGGGAACCTTTTTTTGACCAAAGAGAAACTTTTTGGTTAATGTTTTTTTTTTCTTTTTCAAAAGAGCTTGAGCATACATCCTCTTCTCTCTCTCTCTCTCTGTCTTTCTCTCTCTCTCTCTCTCTCTCTCTGTGTGTGTGTGTGTGTGTGTGTGTGTGTGTGTGTGTGTGTGTGTGTGTGTGTATGTGTGTTTGTTTGTTTATGTGACTACTCACCAAGGTGGGAATTTTGTCATATTTCTGTCCCACAATTAATGTCTTATTGTGTCTATGCTTTGTTTGTTATAAAGAATGGATTCGCGAGCATGTACTGGACGAAATAAACAAACAAATAGCATTTTCAGCAGTGAGCTTATTCTAACTTAAATGACCCTGATTGGCTATTGCCTTCAAGAAATCAACAGCTCTCTCTGTGATTGGCTACTTGCTCAACGCTGCATGCACACCTTATAAATAGAAACATTTGATGTGCAAACACAACTATACTAGAGAGCTGTTATTACATCTTCAACTGAGGGTGCTGCTTTCATTTGAGCATTTGTCAAAATGAGCCTAAAATGCAAAATAATACACCTGGCTTGGGATAGAAAAGATCCATTTCCAAAAGCATAAACATAAAATTTAGTTGTAATTGCTGTTCTCAGTTTGTGAAAATGTTAAATACAGTTAGAAAATATTAAACATATTTCTTTTAAATGCAGTTTTATTTATCATATGTTCTCATATGTATTGTTTTATTTTTATTGTTTTTGTAAAGCTATAATTGTGTTATAATAATGATTTGATATGTTTGCTATTTGCAATAGTTACTATTTACTATTTCATAAGTGTTATTTTTGGTGAATTGTTAAAAAAAAAAAAAGAACGATGGTAAGTTTGATCCTCAAACATCACTGTAATTAGTAATATATGGAACCCACACCAATTTAAAAAACATGTAAAAATATATTATCCCCATTTTTAAATTCGTAGATAAGCACAATAAGTGAGATTTCAGTGATATTTTGACAACTGAACTAGGAAATGTCCCCGGTCTTAATTTCAGAAATCTGGTCAACTTGTAGCCATAATGCAAATTGGGTTTTTGTGTAGTAAATTAATTTATCTAAATTGTTCTATATTGAACTATCCTGTATTGGTGATCTGTTTTAATCTAGAACTTTATCTATTTCAGTTATAATACGGGTTATTGTTTTGGTGAATGTCTGTTTCTCTGTGCCCCCCTACGAAAATGATCCCTCCCCCCACTCAATTCTATTTGTTGTGGAGGGGGCCGGCTTCACACGTTTGCCTGGGGGTCCTCAGCGCCAGAATCACCCAATGCAAGCGTGCGCTAGCGCCTCACCCCAGGGTGTGCACGAGTAAACCGGCCTTAACCGGGTGCCAATCCGTGCTGGTAAAGCCGGGCTCACACTACAGGATTGAAAGACTAGCCGAATCACTGTGTTGCTCACACTACGCAACAAGATTTGTTCTCATCTGTCGTTGTCTTGTCATAGCTGCGCGCATACTAGCCTACACAACCCAACACTAACGAGGTGCACTGCACACACTACAAAACATTCAGTGAAGAGGCGTTCCCGACCATCAGCGAAAATACGTTTTCTCACATAAATTCTCGTGAGAAATTACAGCGATTATAGGCCATATCTTCAAGCATGGACGATCAACTGGCCCTTCAATTGGTCTGTGCAGTTATTTTATTAGAAAGAAAGAAGAAACCACGACAAAAGAGAATATGGCAGAAACAATGACTTGGAAGACGTGGACAACAAGGACTGTCAGTAGGCTACTGCAGAAAGAGATGGAGGTAATTAAACAGTATACTATATTAAATATTATATATTATAATATAAATATTATATACGATATATTGTATACAATGAAACGTGGTATTATATACACAATCTATGCATTTGTTAAATGTATTTCTAGTTAGTTGATTTGATTAATTTGTGGCTTTTCGTGTCGGTTCATAAAGATGCATAAGCGTGTTTATACCATCTGCACTGTGATTGGCTAGATTAGTTCCACCTTGTCATTGTGTCGCTCACATTACGAGATC